AAATTGTCATTCCTATTTATAGTTTTATTCTTTATCCAGTTGTGCTTATCTAATTATTTTAATTGGTTTCCTGTATGAACAAAATACTGTTTCACTGTACTTCATTTATCTTACTGCAGTACAGTAAGTACTTCATTTAGCAGCACTGGGCCTTCAACTGTGACAGCTAATGGGACGTGTCCCGCAGCTCTCCCACCGTTACATCATACTGAAACCTTATGTTGGGGTTTCCTGAGAATGTTATCATGTGGTTCCCTTCTGCATCTGACTCTGGAAATGGAACTCACAGGGAAATAAGACAAGCTCTGGCTTTGTGTGTGTGATCTGTTTGTCTGTGTCTTCCATTTCCTGAATCGTACAGTAGACCCTGTGTCTCATCTGTGACACTGGAAACAAAAATACTGGGAGTGTTTTTAGCTGTGGTCATGTGCACCTCCGAGAGTTTTGTGAAAGAAGGAAAGCGAGAGAGGAACTGCTGTATTCAGTAGACAACCGCGCAACTGAAGTCATGTACAAATGAGAGTAAAGGCAACGTAAAAATGTGGTTAATTCAGAGTTGGATGATACTGAATGTGTCTTTACGTACATATTTTGTAGATATTCAAGAGATGTAGACTCTTTAGAGTTGATTTTCAACATAAAAAAACAACCCTCAATTAAATTAATTAATATCTTAGTATTCTTTCATTTTTACAATTGTTTAAAGTGAGTCAGTTTTTTAAATTCCTGTTAAACTAAAACTGCAAGTGGAAAACAGCCCCAGTAAGTGTCAGAGCTGCGTAACATATTAGCATTGTGCAAACATGTTAGCGTTTGTTTTGGCTGTACTGTAGGTGGTCACTGGTATTAGGAGCAGCTACCATTTGTGACTCTTCATGACAGGCTCTTTACTGAACTGAACTGTGCTACGGTTCCTCACAGGCTAAAGCTGCTAATGTCTGCACAATGCTAGCATGTACTTCTTCTACTTCTTCTTCTATGAGAGGATACAAGTATGTTCAGTGCTGACAAATGTTAAAGAAATAAGTCTTCCCTTGATTTGACATGTTTAGTCATTCTGTTTTCAGTGTTCCTTATGTTTGCACATCACTGTAACAAGATTTCTTTTGTCATATTTTCACACCAAATGCGTTGACTACAGATTCACATACAGCTGCAAAACACATCCCAAGGAACTGATAAGGCGAAGGTCAGTTCCTCCCTTGCTTTAACCCTTTAGGCCCTTGTGTTTTTTCAAATAGTCTCATGGGTGAGGCTCTTTGCTTTGGGAAGCTCTTTTTAACCGTTTCCGTGTTTAGACATGTTTAATCTCTCCATATGCTAGATTACAGTATGTTTTCAGATGTGGTCAGACGTATCCTGAGACGTTCTCTCTCAAGAGCTGAGAGGTTACAGAGCATGCAGAGATGTGATCCAGGCTGGCTGCTAAGCTCTGAAGCGTTTTAGTTCCCAGGCCTCCCGCCCCAGAAATAGCGTTTACTCTGCTCTGCCCCACAGTGGACCAAAGTTTCCCACTCTTTCAGATTACCAAGGGTCCCAGCTGAGCTCTGATAGCTGAGGGAAGGCCCTTGTATGGTGCAGGGGAATTATAGCTTTCTTTTCTATCGTGTCACTGAAACATGCAGCATGACCAATATATTTAAGTAAGACAGAAGAAGAAAGACATCATAAAAAACTCTATTTCTAACAATATTATATACAGTTTGTGTTTTGGCTTAAAATACTTTCACTGGAAAGAACTGTTTCTAAAGCTTTGGTGTGAAATTTATAATTATAACCCAGCCTCCTTTAGGCCCGTTCCACATTCCACATTTACATAGTAAATTACCAGTCATACCAGAATACTCTCAACGTTCTACGGGGTGTGTAGATTAGATCAGGATCCCTGATGGCGCTCTTGTGCAGGATTGTTGCTTTTGTTGAAAGAAAGAAGTTGTGTGAACAACAGAAACGTGCAGCCCACACAGCTAAGGTTTTCTGTTTTTACCGTGTACCTGTCCACGTTGCATTCTGGTAAGTGTTTTGCGTTCTAGTTCTGATCTGTTAAAGGCTACATGGCTGGCCAACGTCAGGGTGCTTTCACTAAGTTCATTTGTTGGGTCTGATGTAATGGAATAGATCATTACATTTACAGCAGCAGCTGGCTGTAACTGAGAAAACATGTGCTGCTCTTCAGGTGCAGCCTGTTGGGAACAGTTGAATGAATTAAAGTGATGGTGGGCATGCTGTAGAAAACTTACTTTTCAGCCCCAAGCTATATACATGAATATCCACAAGAGTGGACCAGAAAATGCCTGACTGGTTTCAGTATAGATCACATTTGTATTGTGTTCTCATTAGGAAGACCTGTAAGTGGTGATTAAAAGTACAAAAATCAGAATGAAGCTAGACCAGTTGACAACCAGTGGTATGTTACAGTACAGTATGTTTATATTCCAGGACCTGAGTAAGCAGTGTTCCTGTGTGTAATTTTGACTCTAGAAAAACGTCAAAACCTTGATTTTGTTTTTGTTCTGAGCTCCACACAGCCGTACTTCCTCCGCCCGCACTATTGTTGCTGGAGTTTTGGTCTTAAAGACGGCCTTTGTTATTCAAAGACAGGAAAGAGTTAAACAATTAGAGGTCACAAAATAATGATGCGGAGTGGGTGGACTCCACTGATTTCTATTTATCACAGATGTGATAAGGAGCTCAGGAAAAACAGTGCAGCGACGAGGATTAAAACGCACACAGGGCTAGAAATCACCGAGATACGTACATTTGGGTGGAGGATGGAAAAGAGGTGAGGTCATGTTGAGAACCATGAGCAAAGGAGGAGAGGAAGAAGAAAAAATAAAGTGTGTGATTACTCTGTGGAATGTGCAGATCTGTGAAGCATGAGAGAGCCATGTTTTCCCTGGGCTGCAACTGTGCAGAGGGAGGGGCTCGGCCCACATACCCAGGAAGTGTGACAGAAAAGGCATCTGTGAGTAGAAGCACAAGCTCCTTGGTGGTCAATGAAAGAAACATGAAAACCAGAGGGAGAACCACAAGCAGAGAATCTACCCTACAGATCCTTAAGTAGTGTACGGTACAGATGTACTGTATGAGAACCTGATTTTGACCAGCCGGTCCATCTAGTCAGTCTGTATCACTCACACTAGACCGGGGATGCTCACACTGTTTTGGCTTTGGAGCTACTATTAAAATGACCAGGCTGAAGTGATCTACCTCCACTGAAAACGTTAAATATATATTTACTCATATGTACAGTATGTTGAGGTACTGATTAAATGAACGTAGTTCTATGGCACAATATGATTCAATTGTGGGCAAATATGTGGGCACTACTTTATAGTATATATATATATATATAAATGTATATAAATATATGTATATATATTCATCTTATCTTATTTAAGATTCTGTTGTCATGAGAATCTATAAGACAACATTTATGACTTTGATGACTTTGTTTATAGGGTTTTATGAAAGGTATCAGTTAGACTTCTTTTCCTGTAGTCTTATTTACAATATCAATGTCAGAGAGGTAATTTTCAGCAGTTTGGAATAGATGTCGAATGAATTATAAATGAAAGCATTAATGAAGATTTTATGTCTTTATTCAGAAAAGCCTCTGATAAACTGACTAAGTATAAGGTGAAGATGGTATTTGTTCAATGTTTGTAGTATTTTGTCTCTGTGTACCCTGTCTTGTTCTCCCCCCTTGTGTCTTACCCCAGCTATGCCCTGGTGTGTTTCATTTCATTTTTGGGATGTATAAAATTGCTTATATGACACCTGAGGGCAGTGGGTATCTACATGTGACCCACACCATTTGTCCAGTTTGTGCTCACTGCTATTTTGCTGACTCTCTGTTATATTTTCACACATGACTCCCTTTGTTCCTGTTTCCCTTTATGTAGGAGGTGACATTGACCAAAAAGCTGAAGAGATGCATTTGATCCTCGTGGTTCAACAATGTTTTTGTGCTTGTGAACCTGAAAGACGACTGTAGTCCAAATGACCAGCCCGGTCTTTAGTTTAACTGTTCATGTAGCCCTGAAACACATGAAGTGGTTTCTGTTGTTGTTGTTGTTGTTGTTGTTTTTCATCCCATAGCTGCTGTGGTGCATTCCAGTCTGTAGCCATGAGCAAACGTATCACTCAGGCCACAGATCCATGCAGTGAATCAGTTGTCATCAAAGGGTAGTGTGGAGGAGGAGCTGATAAACAATCAGCCTGGGAAAAGTGGGGAAGATAGAGAGTGAGGCAGCAGCAGAGCGATAACGCCGTGAGGCTGCTCGGACAGGTCCCTGCTGGAACTGGCTGCAGGGTTGATGTTGAACAGCTGTGAAAAGAGAGGAGGCCCACTTCCTGTGTTTAAACTCATGAAAGTAGTCTGTCTTTATTCTTAGCAGAAACGATGAGGTTCTCTAAGGAAGGAAGACACTGGTCGACTTCTTTTGTTTTTGTTTTGTTTGCGTAGACACTGTATGGTTTTGTTTCCTAATCTGTGATTGCACCACTGAGTAAAGACAACATATTTTATTTTTGAACATGGCTTGTTTACATATTATGTATTTACATGTATTTTTGGATATGTTTTGAGTCACAACACTGCCTTTTTTCCTAGTGGTCAAATCCCAGCTTTTATGACTGCAAACTGGATAAAAACAATGACACAAATGTTCGGAATGGGACAAACTGTGATTACATGGCTCAAACAAATCTTGTCAGTGTGTTTGAGTTGAATGACAGTAATTCCTCTCTGGCATACAGTACATTAATTTGGGCTTTTTGTGTTAAAAAAACTGTTAATACCAGATAATTCCTTGTGTTTCTAGGTGAAATATGTTGTTTGTTTTTGCCCCAAAAAGGTTATGTGATAAATGCCCTTAGAATTAAAAGAATTTCAAAAACCCTCTGCAATATATCAAAAGGAAAGCAAATAAAAAAAAAAGTTTAATTCAGTTCTTCCTAATTAATTACTATTTCATGTATGTGTGTTTGTTTTCCAGAAGGACTCTCCATCCAAGCCGTCTGTGGCTGAGCTGGCTGGAAGGTTCAAAGGTCATATTTTACCAATGCCAAAAATGACCAACGAGGTAAGTGGCTCTTTATAGTTGCAACGCATACCAAAACATGGTCATCTGCATATTTTGAATTCATTAACATATGCAGGACAATATAAAAACATTAACAGATTTATTTAACTGTGTTTGTAGATGTCATTTGGAAAAAGACCCCCATGCTGCCTTAAGATACAGAATGAAAAAGCCCATAATGAAGAACCAGATGTGAGTCATGATGTTCTGTTTTACTGATCCACGAGACGCTGCTAAAGTTAATTTAACATCATGATCATAAGACTTTCTACAAAAATCTTTTTTTGGTCATATCTACTTGTCCTTTTCAACTTTAGGACAAACCACATTTTTAAATATAATTTTACAACCAGCAAGGTAAAAGCTAAGTGTTTCTAAAGTGTGTTGTTCTCTTATCCACTATCGTACAGGCATTTATTTCCTCAAGTGAATAAAAATATACCCTTTAAACTGTACTAGATATTACAATTATTTACGATAATTAGCACAACGGTTAATTTATCGCAACGTCTCAATATATTACAAGCCGGAAATATAGTTACCCGCAACTCACACGGAACGAAAACAATGTTACACAACACCCGCTTGTTGCCGCCTGTGTTGCTTTGTTTTTGGTCCCTGCAAGCTGTAGAGGAGAGGTGTGGCCACGTGGGGGTAATGGCATGAGAAGCGCATTAAATCGGCCAGGTGGGATTATTTTAGCTACAGAAAGACTGACCAGGGTGTTGTCGTGGATGGCGGAATGCCAGCATTTAAAGTATGCCATACAGATTGCGGCGAAAATATATCTACACAATACATGTATTTCATCACTTGCGGCACAACCACCCGACTTTGTTAACACAAAATACACAGTAACCGGAGTGTATGTCACACGTAGCATTTAAAGAGCAGTGGTGAATTTTCTTTAATTACAATGGGTTTATTGTCAATTTACTCCATTTTGTTGCTATATGTTGTTGTTATGTTGTCATCAAAAGATAGAACAGGAACTGTATGACTTACAAAGGAGTTGTCATGTGATTTTACACATTGCGTTGTGAAATCAATTAATGTATAATAACTAAATTAGTCAGTGTCCTTTTTTTTAACAGTCCTCTGTGTTCTGTGTTTTCTTTCAGAAAACCGCAGTCTCGCCGAGTCCCACTAAAATCAAAATGAAGAACTCGGCCATGATTGAGAAACTCCAGGTCAGTGTAGATCAATATTTTCACTGTTCCATGGGAGTAACAACAGCACGCGTTCGCCAGTGGCGTCTTACAGTAGAAGGGAATTTAAATGCGGTGGTAAAAAATAATAATAAAGTACTGCTGCCACCTAACGTTGAAACTGCAGTGGTGCAACAGTTAAATCGAGAACGGGTTTGTCCTGATGCCACAATCTGCTCAGATTAACGATTTAATGGGATCAGGGGCCACACTGCCTCTGGTGGGGCATTAACTCATTACCATCATTTTTACTGGTGGCTCCACACGCTTGGCAGCCATGGGACAAAAGGGCTGTAGGTTCTCCCTCTTCTTCTTCTCTCCAGTGCAGGTAGGAATATGTGACACGGGGGAGTGGATTTGTGGATTATATGTATCGCAGATTTGATTAGTAACACATTTTACAAGGTATTATTTAATGTGGTATTAGTTAAAGACACTGTTTGTAGTATGCAATGTGAAGTCTACCAACGAACAGTACAGAAAATGTTATTGCTAATTTATACATGTGTTTTATATGTGTTTTACTTAAAATAAATGTTTACAATTAATAATAATAATACATTTTATTTAATTGGTGCCTTTCTGTCACCCAAGGACACAGCATTAAAAAAAACAATAAAACATTAATATATATTATTAACAATTATATAGTAGGCTGGAAACATAGCTGTACGTTTTATGATGTGTTGTCAGTTTTGATGATCCTGATGTGGGAAAAGAAAGTAAAATGTAAATTTAAAATAATTTCTACATTTATCGAACTTCCTGATTCCTGTGAGTAAATGTCTTGTGCATTTATGTACTGTGGATAATATTGTATTATTTTTCCTTAAGAAATGTTTTTCATGAAAAGGAAAATGAGAGTAAAAATAAATATTGAATTTTCATAATATGCTTGACATTCTTTGCACCACATAGAAGGATTTTTTTTTTGAGTTGATAAAGCTGGTTTTTTTATACATTGTTAGGTTATGGAAATGAACATATTCAGGAAGCATAGTTCACTCAGCATAATAATGCAGTTCAGCTTTAAAGTAAAGATATGGATATGGAAATATGGACTTCAAAAAAGACATGTTGATGCTGTTGAGGCAGTAGCTCATAACAATGTTGTCTGAACGTTTTAACAAAAGTGTCCAGAGTAGAGTGGGACGTATTATCAAAAGGAATTTATCCACATACAGGATGTACAGCAGATCAGGCAGAAGAAAAAAATCTTATAAAATCATTATTTTTGTCCCCTCTGCAGGCTAACCTGTCATTGTCCCCCACTTCTCTGCTGCCCGTATCTAAGAACCCCGAAGCAAAGCTGGGTGAAGTTACCCCCACCTCACCCTGTGTGTCCCCCAGCCCCACACTGCAACTGGCACCTCAGACCAGTGAGGAGGAGGAGCCCATCAGCTTTGAGAGCCCGGCGGAGGGTACTCCATTACCAAGCATCAACAAGGTGAGAAACAACAAACACATCTTGCAAAAAATATCATCAACATCACCAGATGTCTTCCTCAGTCATTTGCAGAGCAACTGAGCAGCTGCTCGCATGTATCTCTGTGGGTGTTCACTCTAAATCTGGTTTCAGATAATCTGGAGGAGAAGGATTAAGTCTTAAATCCCATCAGTGCGGTTGTCTTTAGATGCCATTTGTGCAGTGCTGTCACGCTAAACACATTTGTACATATTTGTATATGCTATTATTGTGAGGATATAAAAGACTAGATTCATTATCTTTATCATCATCGTCATCATTATCATCATTCACTGAGGTAACTGTGCTTTATTATAGGGAAAGCATCTAAAAGGGAAGAAAATAATATATGTCACATGTATCTAAAAAACTTGTAACTATTCGATGGTGCCATTTTGCCATTCTGTGAGATTTGAGTTGAAGTTTTTTTTTTTGTTTGTTTTTTTTAATGGCTAATAAATAGCTACCTGTGGCATTCATTCAAGTCTGAAAGGTTTTGGCTAATGATTTAGCTGTTGGTTGCTTATTGTTTACATCTTTATTCAAATAAAAAGAGGTGAAATGGTTTTGTACAACTATAAATATAATATAAATCTAAATATATTCTTAAAACAAACAGAGTGTGCACTTCCCCACTGTGAACTGCAGGGGGTGCTGTAAGTGTATATTTACCCCCCTTCACACCTCTGCGTCTATGGGCGAAGGTCCATGTGCCATACAGTCCAGTCAATTAAACTTCTTAATGGTTTTCTCCTCATGCACTGAAAATAATGTATACGAACATTTTAATGATCTGGCTTTTGGCTGGCACTGGCTTTTCAACACATTTGATTTTTACTGCATCCTTTTTTCTTTTTTCTCCTCCACCCAGACTCGTGCAAGGCTTTCCTTCAAGAGACGGCTGCCCACAAGACAGCACAGGAGGTCGGCAGGAGAGGATGAGGGCTCGTCCCCGTGTGAACTGAACAGTCCAATAGAAAATGGGGATGAGGAGGCAGTTTTAAAGAGTCCAGCGGAGGAGGAGGAAGAAGAAAAGGATGGATTTTCAGGACGTCTGGACAAAGGCAGAGACAAGGTTGGTTTCTGTAAAAAGACAGAGGACAAGTTAGAAAAGATCAATCCAGGCTGTGAGGGAGATCCGGAGAAGGAGCCTCACGCTCAACAGAGTCAAGACTCGAAGGCTGCTGAGGAGGAGGAGGAGGAGGAGGAACTCCGACCTTCAGAGCGTTGTCCTTCTAACCAGGAAAATGTTAACAACACAAGGATAGCAGAAGGCATGGAAAAGGAAAATTAGAATAAATAGGATAAATATGATGACAGCGTATGCACTGTGAATGTTTACTATAGGAAATATACTCTGTAAACCAGAAAGTAAGATGTGCTTAAACATTAGCTTTAAGTTCAATCAGTGTTCACTTTTACCATACACGTACTTTCAAATTACAATGGGTGTTTATGACTATTGAGGAAACAAAATACGAGAAAGGAAAAACTATAGCCTAGATGTCAAAGTGTTGCACTTTCCACTTGTGTGCAGTGATCTATGGGCTTCCTAAAAAACAATTCTTCATATATTTACAAACTCCACAAAGAAAAGAAAGTAGAATATTTCAAATGCAATAACGTGTTTACAGCTACCACACCATGTGACTGCATAAAATATTCACACAAACCAGTGACATCATCTGTAGTTCCAGGCAGTGGGCAGACAGTATATATATATATATATATATATATATATATATATATATATACACACACATATACATATATATCTCAGTTTGTCTGTGACATCATCTGATGACTCCTTGACCGCCAGTGAGTGACCATCTGTAGCCCATTTTTCCTCAGGTAATGTGAAGCATGTCACATATTTGCAGTACAGTGGTACACAGCAGCAGTCATTTGAAGATGAACATAGTACTGTGGTTGGTCAACGTCAGACATTTGAGGCTTAATATAATGGATTTAAAAGAAAGAATTTAAAGATTTTAAATCTCTTTATATACAAGTGATACTGTATCTGCTCTGTCGCCCTCTTAAGGCTGTACAATGAACAGGTCTGAAAAGCTTAGCAACATATGACATGGCCCACATAGTACAGTGAGAAATATCAGGCCATAGGATTACTTTATATCTCCTGATTCAGACCCTGGGCCACATTTAATCAAATGTAACCCGGACTTGACCTTATCTGTCCAGGAGAAACTAGTTTGATCCTAACTATGCTAACTTTTAAGATTGTGGTCCACTTTTCTGACACCTTACGTGTCACTGCTGTATTGATATACACTATATTACCAAAAGTATTAGCTCACCCATTCAAATGATCAGAATCAGGTGTTCTAATCCCTTGGCCTGGCCACAGGTGTATAAAATCAAGCAAGTCGCCGACTTTCTGCACAGTCAATTGCTACAGAGCTACAAACTTCATGTGACCTTCAGATTAGCCCAAGTACAGTACGCAGAGAGCTTCATGGAATGGGTTTCCATGGCCGAGCAGCTGCAGCCAAGCCACACATCACCAAGTGCAATGCAAAGCGTCGGATGCAATGGTGTAAAGCACGCCGCCACTGGCCTCTAGAGCAGTGGAGACGCGTTCTCTGGAGTGATGAATCACGCTTTTCCATCTGGCAATCTGATGGACGAGTCTGGGTTTGGAGGTTGCCAGGAGAACGGTACATTTCAGACTGCATTGTGCCGACTGTGAAATTTGGTGGAGGAGGAATTATGGTGTGGGGTTGTTTTTCAGGAGCTGGGCTTGGCCCCTTAGTTCCAGTGAAAGGAACTTTGAATGCTTCAGGATACCAAAACATTTTGGACAATTCCATGCTCCCAACCTTGTGGGAACAGTTTGGAGCGGGCCCCTTCCTCTTCCAACATGACTGTGCACCAGTGCACAAAGCAAGGTCCATAAAGACATGGATGACAGAGTCTGGTGTGGATGAACTTGACTGGCCTGCACAGAGTCCTGACCTGAACCCGATAGAACACCTTTGGGATGAATTAGAGCGGAGACTGAGAGCCAGGCCTTCTCGACCAACATCAGTGTGTGACCTCACCAATGCGCTTTTGGAAGAATGGTCAAAAATTCCTATAAACACTCTCCTCAACCTTGTGGACAGTCTTCCCAGAAGAGTTGAAGCTGTAATAGCTGCAAAAGGTGGACCGACATCATATTGAACTCTGGGTTAGGAATGGGATGGCACTTCAGTTCATAGTATGAGTCAAGGCAGGTGAGCCAATACTTTTGGTAATATAGTGTATGTGGACTATGGATTGTACCAGCTTTTGTTTTAAATGCATCCATTTCTTTCTTTTTTTTTACATAAAGAGTATCACTGTTGACGATGTATCCATCAATGAGAGGAAAACCTCCACAGCCTGGCTCCGTCTGCTTCACTGGGTCAGAGTCAGAGACCACGTGTACCATAAACCCCATTAGAGTAATGTAAATAAACACTGATAAATACTATATATAAATCCCAGCATTTATGTCATTCACATTTTCTCTTGGTTGAAGTTATATATAAATATCTGCTTTATTTTTCACGGTAAATTGATGCATGTCTGAAACCCTGGGAGGTTGAGATAGAAGTGACCTTAACATTTCCCTGTTATTCAACAACTTACTGAATACTGCACACAGACTTTACTACAACCACCTGAACTGGTTTCTAGAAATCCTTTTTAAATCGGAGTGGCTTGATTTGCATTGGTAATAAAGGTAATCGTTAAAACTGTTACATGATGACAAAGATTAATTTACTTATGTCACTATTTAAAAAAGAAATCGAGAGGCTTTAACCTGCGGTCATAGAGGTAGAAAAGGGAGGGGTTTATACAAAGTAAATATAAAGCTGTTGATGAACATAGATTGAACACATTTAAAAAAAAAACAAACTGATGTGTATGTCACTCTATATTTGGAATACTATCCTATTTTAAAAAATACACAGAACCATATGTGTGTCACCGCTGTTTCTATTACGTTTCCGGATTCGGTTTCGCAACCTGACTTGGCTGCTGACGTCAGAGACACGGAACCCTGAAGGAACCTCACCTGCGGCTGAAGTAGAAGGAGGGTTAGAAGTCGCGACAAGTCATTTTAATAGTTGTTTATTATCGTCCGCGTTTAGTTGTTTGTTTCACTTTTGACCGCAGTTGAGCTAAACTCGAGTTCAATCAAACAAAAACTTCTTTCATTTTCAAAAAGTCCAAACTGTCCGACGTTTCCGGGTTGGGATTTGATCCAGGATCGGACCCTGGATCGGTTTTAGGATCAGCTGACTGCGTCAACCAGGATATGGACGTGGAGCTGATAACCCTCCCGGCTAATGGGAACAACGGCAAATCGATTTCTAATGACCGGGTAAGTTAATAACAATAAGAAGAATAAATAATAGTAATAATTAATTAGACATGGGAGGCAAAAATCTTAGTCGAACACATGGTCAGATAAACGAGAAATAATTGTTCTTGTATGTTTCAAACGAAGTGATGTGAAGATTATTTTTAAATACATTTCTTAGAGAAAATATAAACTTGATTTCATTATTGTTGTCATTATTATTATTGTTACTATTTTTGATTAATCTTCATGATTTAAACCATAGGTGTTCGCACATTTTTGGCTCGGGAGCTACTTTCCAGGCTAAAGTGAATTACCTACATTGAAAACTTTAAATTTCTACTCTTTTAAACTGAATATACCTTTTCATATGCATTATACGTTTGGGTACTTTGATTGAATGGCTGTAGTTACTGTATACTGCACAATATGACTCCTATATCCACGCTAGTGGTTAGCATCTAAAAATGGAATTACTGCACATCCATCATTTTATTTATTTAAATTTAATTGCTCATGATCTATGGGATTTGTTATGGCCTAAACGTGGTACTCTCCGTGTCCTTTTCACAGATAACAGCTGAGAACGGTGCGGACGTTACGTGTGAAGTCACAGAGAGAGACAGTTTGCTCAAAACGCATGTAAGCTTTTACCACAGTTTGACTTGTAGTTCATGTGTCCTCAGACTGTGACATTTCAACTGATGGAATTCTGTGTTGTTGTTGTTTATTCAGGCTGCAGGTAATCAAAATGGAGATATTCCTGTCTCCAATTCTGACGTAGAAGCTCAGAGGACTGTGGAAAATGCCCACTCCTGTCCAGAGGTAAATTAATATGCCTTTCCCTTTTGGAGCATGTCCTTCCACAGTATCTCTTATCATGTGAACATACACATGGTTATTTTCAAATTCATCATGAGCAGAAGCAAAGTCTAAAAAATGTCTAGACTACAGAACCATGGTCTGCAGCTAAGTCGGAAGTTTGACTGCGATGGTGTCAGCGTTTCCTGTTTATTCAACCACAATAAAGTGGCTACATTTGCAGATTGTACAAATCAGAAATGTTAATAAAACAACTGTGAAATTGGTTAAATGTTAAGTATAGTAACTACTGCTTAAAGGTTCAGAGAGATGTTCACACTTGAAGGTGCACCAGAATAAAGATACAAAATTAGTTGTGGTCACGTCAGCTCTGTGGTTGTGTTTGCTTCATTTACAATAATGACAAGCTGTTACTGTAATGTGTGAGCTCATGGTATCTGCAGCAGGTACTGAGGGCGGGTGGCAACACAGTAGTCTGCCACAGTCAGACAGCATTCCTGACAGTACTGAAAGTGCAGACCCCACCTTTAACAGACACACTCACTTTAAATATATAAACAGCTTAGTTTATAGATTTAAAGTCAGCAGGGAAACAAAGACAAACAGGGTCGAATTACTTTAACAAGGCGTTCACCGCACAATATTTGTTGCTGTTTATGAGTCACTACATAATCAGAAGATTCTAGTTCTCTAACTAGAAATGAAGTTTGTATATAGTATATCTTAATCTTAACTAGAAACGAAGTTTGTATATAGTATATCTTAATCTCTTATTCCAAAGCAGCAGACTGAAACTCCAACGAGCTGAGGGCCACAACAAGCACAGATATTTTATATAAATACTACATACTACAAAAAAACAAAAAATGGGAAAAGTCGAATTAGACATTTTATGCAATAGTGAATATAAATTAATGTTCTTTTCTTTCTTTTTTTAAAGAGCACAGCACGCAGGATTTGGGAAGAGTTGAATGACACGCCCTTCTCCAAAGTCAGACTATGGATGATCCTCATTTTCCTTCTGGTCATCATCGTGGCTATAATATTATTTTCTCTGTGGATTTGTTCAGGTATGTTATTGTACTGTATATCCGTACGATCAGATAAAAGACAAAAGTCCGTTTAAAGTTATATGAAAAATTGACTTTTAATACTAAAGCCTGCAATAATTAACAAAAACCTCAACAATACCAGAAATGTTAATGAATATTTATTAATAAATGTAACACCAAATTGGTTGAATGTATGACCTATTCAGTGAAGTAAATGTTCAATTGAAATTTTGGTATTTAGATTGTGTTTAAGCAACTCTAAATGTTAACTTAATTTAGCCGAAAATTAGCCAAAATGCCACAATAGCTAGCTGAAACAAAGACTGGAATTGAATAATCAAATGATTTAAAAAAAATTGCTCAAGCTGAGTCTTACATACTGTAACTACACATACTTTAAAAAAAGCTGAAGTGCTATGAGGTTCAGTACGTACAGAGAAGTTCTCCAGTAATTTAATCAATAAAAACAGTTAAAATTAGCCAAAAAAATCTATTCACAAATCAACATAAGAGCTAAAATGTAGCCACATCAATGAAACAACGCTAAAATGGCTAAAAGTTCATTTACAACATTTTGACACTACTTATATGTCTTTCTTTAGTAATTCACGAGGACGTAGATGAAAAATTTGACCCTTCGCTGTTTCAAGTTCCTCTACATTTCAACGGCAGCTTTCAGCTTCCGAACCAGGTGTTCACAGAAGAACTCTTCACCTTGTCAACCAACGAGAGCATAGTTCTCACCACCGACCTGGAAGATAAGGTTGGAACATTATCTCTACTGCTGTGGTTTTAGTTGTTGGGTCACGTGTTGGCAGATCATGACTTTTCTCCAGGAACTGTGGTTTGTTTCTCACGGTCCAAATGACATAAATTGTAAATGAAGTTAATTAGACACACCATAGACCAGCGTCCCCTAGACTTTTTTGTACCAATATATAATATAATTTAAAATATACTCCATTCATTTAGCTGTTTTGTTAAGCAAATTTTGAATAAAAATATTAATTACACTCTAATCAAATAATATCTTTGGATTGGCCTAAAATGAAAGAGAAAAAACATTTAGGAAAACTGCTCTGGAAAAGATTACAAAAATATTTAATTACCATATCAGCTATTAGTCAGAGTCAATAGACATTATTCGTAAACTCCTGGGAAACATGATGTGAGACGGCCCAAAAAAAACCCTCTTGCAACCCACCTGAGGGTCGTGACCCAGTCTTTGGGAAACAATGTTCTAAACTATCCCTGTTTTACCTAATCATTAATTAACAAACACAGAACTTTGTTTTCAAACATTGCCAACATGTTCAGTCAGAAAGCTGCATTACTGACTTTACTGACTTTTACTGTATTTGATAGTTTCACAACCAGGTAAAAAAACAACTGGTTTTACTGACAGTCGTATCAGTTTTGATCTGCTGCTATTGTTGCCAGGTAATCTCAATTGAAACCAGTTCGCAGTTGAGCAGAGGCCGCGGTGAAAACACCAGCCATAGATGTTTTTTTCATGCTCTGCTGTCTGTTTGCATGTTCCAACCTGCCACACCCAGTTGGCTGACCTTTACAGATCCTCCCCTGCTCTGGGAAGGTACTTCTCCAAGGCTGAGGTTTATTCTTTGAGGTAATCATCCACCTCCTCCACATTTGGCTTCAGCCTCCTGTCATTGTTTATTTTAAAGTGAAAATACACTTGAAACAAAGGGAGATTTGCTGATTTCTTTTTTGTTTCTTTTAATCTCTGCACAGAAACGGTTCCGTCATTGCTGATTACCAGCTGACATTCCTCCTGCCTGAAGAGCAGCAGTTTGAACTGCAAAACTTCACCCTGAGCAGGGAGATGGTCTACAACGTGCTGAGACAGTCTCTGTACGATCAGGAGACAGACGGCTCTGCACCCATGTACATTTACCCCCGCTCGCTGCGGATGTTTTGAATTGCTCTTGTGACAAGAACCAACATGCAGCCCTGAAAAACTGGAGTATCCTGATGTCAGGTTTCTATGGTGGGAAGTGAGCATGTGATTTTTTTTTAAAGCCGTGTGATTTTTGTGTCATGCATCTTCACCACAGGAACACAATTCATGACTTCCTGTGTCAAGGATGTCATTGTGGGTTCATGTAAACGATCAAGACGTTTGTATTTATCTTTGTAAAATACATTTGAAGGACCTCAAAATTTACAAAAAAATTTACAAGAACAATTCTCAGAACCATTCTCTGAACCGAAAGCTTTAGCCTTGAGAGTCTTTGGAGGTGCAGTAGAATGCTCCAAGCCTCTGGAGCATGTGAGTCATAGCAGCTGGTCTTGAAGTTCAGTTTCACTGAAGACGCCTTATTAACGAGAAGTGAAATGTCTAAAAATGAATCTTCCAGTGTAGTTGTTACTGAGTCACATTATTCAAAGAACCACAACTAAAAAAAAAATCAATAAGTCACCCTTCCTTGACCCTCTATTGTACTTTTAGAAACTCTGTCAATGACGCAGCAACAGCAGTTTCAGTTTTGTTTAGAGAGTTCACTGTACGTGATCAGAGTGGTTTTAACTCTAATAAGTATTTTGGTTTTAACTGTTTTTTTTAATTGTCTTCCAAAAAGAGTATTGTTTTTAAGTCTGATGTTTTTTACCTTCACATTTCATGGTTTGCAAGGTAAAAAAAAAGTATTTTTGTCCAGACGCCAAAGTTTCAGATTAGACTTAATTATAAAAAAAAGTTGCAATCTGTTGCAATCAGTTCGATGGTTCGTCTGTGAACCTAGAGGTTGTTTGTTTCGCTTTTGATTCCATGGCCATTATCACACCTGCTTTACATGCAGAAACCACATACTTCATAGCGCCTCTCGTGCCGGCCTGTGGGTGTTACAAAGACTCAGGCTGCACATTTTCCCCATTAAGGAAGGAATAAGGAACTACCTTTTTTTGTTTTTGGTTCATGAATTAAAGGCAGCAAATGCCTTGAATTTATATTTTTTTCCATATTTACAGATTTGTCATTCATGGTATGCACCATTTATTGAGCTAATGCTAAGTTGTTATAAGCTTCTGAGCTGTGGATCATTAGCAGGTGTCTGCTCCGTGTTAGCCTGAGACACGGAGATGTGCCAGAAGATCTTTAAGCCAGTTCTGTGCAGCTTTGGCCTTAGGTGGTTTATTATCATTCAAAACCTATTTATCCTGAGTATTATTAGACACTTAAAGCTGTAATTATTTATATTTATTTCCATTGAGTGTTTTGAGGAAAACCAAGATCAATGGACATTTAGATTGAATTTAATGTCCGTAAGTATTTTTGTCACCATGAGACACTGTGAAAACACTGGTCCTCAAATGGGAGGGCAAACAAATATGAGTAAATGAAGAGGCTGAAGGTAAACATGAGGGAAAATGGTTCATGTGAAACCATCACATGTGGCTTTAACTCCAAAAATGTTGAGTTGGTTGATGATGTAAAGAGTCGTACACTGTAGAAAATGATCACTTTAGAAAATGTTTCCAGCTACGGTGTAGTGTGTGCCTTATTTGACGCCTGATTGACACATAAGTAGATACAGTTAGACTAACGCAACCTTTTGTTGAAGGTTGAAGATCATTTGCTGTAACTACTAATCAAAAGCTAAGAGAGACCACAGACCACTGGTGCCAAATTTCTGGCCCGGGGGCCAGATGTAGTTCATTTACAGATATTGAAGTAATCGACCTGCTGGGATTTTGAGCACTCAGGGCCATAAAAGACAATTTCAGCGATGTCACCTACAGATTGAAATCCTATTCTGTTAAAAAAGCCCTAAAACCAAAGAGTAATTGTCTCTATATATGGCATGGTGCAATATATTGCTGTAGACACCTATAACGTTTATACTCCAGAGCCAAGTTATATTTTTAGTGATGCAAATGTAAGGGGACAACAGGCGAACTGTGCATCAGTTCTAGTTTGTTTCTATTGTATTAAAGATTTTTTTTTATGTGATTTATTATTATTTTTCTATGCATATATTCCTCATGAATCAAGTACTGTAAGTACTTGTAATTGCTGATTGTGATTGCTGTGATTAGTTGTGCTGTGGGATGAGGGTGTCAGATGAGGTCAGATCACCGTCTGTGTCCCGTCACCGTGTCCTCATGTCTGCTCTGTAACAGGATCGCAGCTGGGATTAATGCTATTTCAAATCAGCTGCTAACAAACACCAGATGGTCGTTAATTAGCACTGATAGAACTTTATCACTCGTTTATCACAAGTTCATTTCATAATCGGATCAATAGGAATGCAATAAGTTGATTCGAAATGAGTGAAAGACAGAATGTTGTGTTTGTTTTAAAAGAATATATTTTTTGAAATAAAGTTTTTTTCACTTTTGCTGTTAATGCGTAGCTGATATTAAATCTAAAGTCTTTGTTTCTAACATAAAATGTACTAGTTTGGACCAAGTTTCATAGTTTTTTTCTTTTAGCTTTCTGTTCTGAGTCAGTATTTTATTATTATATTTTATTAGATAAAACTAATCATCCTGTGTTCTGACAGGTTACTGAGTAGTGTCTGGTTTTTCTGACATTTCTCAAAATGTCTTTGAGGGTTTTTTTTCTTTCCAAATTCTTGAAAATATTGGTGTATATTCATTTTTTTTTACTTCACAAAACTTTATACAACTTTATAAACCACAACCATTTTTATTATGAGGCAAAAGCACAAAATAAAGATATGTCTTCTAAGGCACTGTTTTTTTTCCCACTAATTAATCACTGAACTAATCATTCAGTATTTTCACATGCAGCCTCTGAATGTCCCTGCTGCGTGATAGTCACGTGTTGGTCAAACGGTCTAAAGGTCAGACAAACCCTCTCTGAAAATATGTGAAAGTTGGCACACACCACTGTTAGCCTAAAAACTCTAATCTACAAAAACCTGCTCAGGAAGTAACACAGAATGCCCTGAACACAAATCACCCAGGGGGAACTGTAGTTCATATCCTGCTTTGCTAAGGGACCGTCATACAGTAACTCCAAAGTTTTGGATTTTCCCCGTTCCTTGAGGGGGAAAGAAACAAGGATTAAAGGAAGTTGAGAAACAAAAAGGTCTTCAAACAGAACTCCTAAGTTTTGGATTTCCCCCCTTCCTTGAGGGGGAAAGAAACAAGGATTAGGATGGGAAAAAAAGTTAAATAATAATAAATATGCTTTAACCATAAAAATTATTACACCATATGGACAGGATTTGAAATATGCTTTAACCATAAAACTTATTACACCATATGGACAGGATTTGATCACTGTGTTCAACCATCTAATAAACATTATATGTTAATGTTTACTCTCTACTATACACTTTTAGACACTAAGCTAAGCTCTGGTGGGTTACATAAAATGATAAGGCGGGCCACCTTTGGGCCGCTGGCCTTGAGTTTGACTTATGTGGTCTAAGGCAGTGGTTCTCAAACTTTTCATACTCTGTACCACCTGAGAAAACATTGAGCTCTCTGAGTGCCACCATGATGACCAACATTAGAATTCCTCTGCTCGTCCCACGTTTAACTTGCAAGTGGTCCCATGGTTCCGTGCTGCCTGTGTTTACGTGAGCAACAGACTTGCATTGCAGCAAAAAAACAAACAAACAAATAACAAAAACAGACATCCTATTTCATAATCTCACAAGTAGCTACACATTTTTCTAAATATTGTATTAATGTGCATGGTATGTTTCAGATTTATTCAATTGAAAATGTAAATGTAAAATATGAATTTTCCCCACGTACCACTAGAGAGCGCACGTGTATCGCCGGTGGTATGCATGCCACAGTTTGAGAACCACTGAGAAGGCATTCTTGACACCTGGGAAAGTTCCCTTTTTCAGACAGCTGTAGTTAATCTAACACACCACATGGAGGATCTTACACAGAAACTTGAAGGTCTAAACTGTAGACCATGTAAGAGCCAGAACCTCACACAATCCGGAGAAGAAAAAAAACATCTTGGGCTGAGAGTTGCAAAAACTTGCCATAACTTTTTTTTTTAAAACACTGCAAGTTGGTAGATTCCTCTGGAGCAGGTTGAACATCTGCAGTGGATTTAATCAGCATTAAAGTGTATTTCTGCCCTTGTATCTACAAAGTAAACACTGTTGTTGGTCTGTTGCGTCTGTTGATTGAACGCGTGCCAGGTCATAATACTGTGACATTGAGTCGTGTAGTGTTTTATCAATACTTTCTCCCTGTGCTTTCTGTGTAGTCACCGCCGCTGCTTCTTCCCAGGATCTGTTTTAGGAAATGTTAATCTTCTGAAGGCAGATTAGCCACAACAGGCACTCTAAGCTTTGATAACCTGCATGTTTTAAACTGTGGTCTGTCTGTTGGACCAGTGACTTCAGGTCAGCTGTGGGTCAGCAGTGTTGGGAAAACAGAATAACAGGGATGGTAATATCCACTGTTTAATGGAGGAACTCCCAGATGCAGTAATACTACAGTATATATTCCTAATGGTTCATAAGAGGTTTATTGTTCAGAAATATCCTCTGCTGTGTCAGTATTTAGAAAGAGGTCATGTCTGTACATAGAGAGGAATTCCCCCGGGGCAATCCCCAGAGAATCCCCCCGGAGGACAACTTTGGTAATAGCTTACACCTAACACTTAACAATTTAGCAGTAAAGCTATTTAAACAGGTTTGTCATTGTCTTTTAGCCAAAGAATAAACAAATGCCCTCCTCCTACTACCGGTGTTTTCAAAGTATAACAAATGTAATATTCTCAACACGCTCCTTTGTTTCGTTAGGTCGCTCCTAGAATAAAACAAAATACCAAATTGCCAAATTGCTCATTTGTTGTTGGTGTAGTTTGTGATTGTAGTCTGGCTGTTACTACGCTGAACAGTTGAAGTGTCAGACTGAGAGTTTTGCCTCTTAACAAACACAACAGATACAGAACATAAACTGTCCTTGGGGAGACATCACTGTGTACCAGTACTATGAAATTAATTTTCATAGTTTTTGAAGTTTTCACTCTCAGGCTTCTGTAACACCAACAGTCCTGAGGGATATCCTTTCAGAGCTGGGACCTGCTATTAAGTATATAGTGGTGCCAAAATAATACAGTATCTGCCAATGTTGCTTTAGACATGCATTGATATTTTGAGCGTCTCATGTCTCCCCATTACATCATGGGACCAGGGCTACCTAAAGTACTGCTTCATGTATTTGCATTCACCACAGTACTGTAGTGGAGTCTTCTTAAAACCTATTATTCCAGAAATGTGTTAGTTTTGAATGCTTTGTCATATTATTATTATTCACCCTTTAACTCCAGTATACACTGAGACATTCAGAAGTATATATTTCTTTTTGCATTAGTGTTTTACTGTAACTGGTGTTAGTGAAGGTCTTAGTTTGCCCCACTAAACTACTGTAGACAAATTCTTTGTGGATATTAATAACGTTTGTACACTTATAAGAGGTTTAGTGCACTGCCACTCCTTTAGACGTGTCCTGTGGCCTGCATCTGTATTTAGAAAGAGGATAAGTCTGGGTGCAAGGAATTCCTTCTGGTATTTCCTCCAGGAGAGTCCCCCAGGGAGGGTATCATGAAGTGGTCACTTCCTAACACAAAAATCACAATTTTCTTAAAGCTTCTATATTTTCACATGTGAAATAAAACAATTTGATCTTTGATTTTATGTAATTTCTTGTGTTTTCTTCCCTGATTTTGTGGCCATGCGTGTGACGATGTTTATGTCTTTATGATGATTTGCCTTGATTCAAAGTGGACCATCACTGCAGAAGTCATCCAAAGGATACTGCATCAGAGCTGAGGGAACTTCCTTTGTTGATCTCACCTTCCTGGAAACTGGCATCCTTCCACCGTCAGCCCAGTCAGAGAGCATGCTATGTTCAGAAGTTCTAAGAAGACTCTGTTATCCCATTAAGGAGACTTTCCACTTTAAACTTAAGCCTTTAGGCAGTTGCATGAGGCCTGAGTTCCATGTCATTGCTGCCTCCGTGCTCGGTGTGGACACAGACCTCTCTCCCCTGCTCCTACAGGACCCTGGACAGTAGAGGGAGGACATTTAGGAATAATGGGGAGCAACTTCTCCAATCTAGAAGACATCCTGGAGGAGGACATGCACCACTGGTACACCAAGTTCATGAGGGAGTCTCCCTCCGGCCTCATAACGCTCTTTGAGCTCAAGACAATGCTGGACATGAACGGGATGTCGGAGGAGGCCAGCAGCTACGTGGACCAGGTCTTCTTCACCTTTGACATGGACGGGGTGAGAAATGAGAATCATTGACCTTATTCTACTTTTATTTAAAGTAAGATTTTCAGAAATGTCAAGAAAACTTCTGATCTTAAAGACAGAAAACACATGGGATTATACATAAATAAAATACCAGACGATAGAAAATTCAACAATTCAAGGATTTTTATTATCAGTCAAATGGTGTAAAATTGCATTTTCAAGGACATGGATAATGTGTTTAAATCTATATTATATACTATATCTATAATAAATAAACACTAAACTAGAATATAGATTCAAACATAATGAAAATAGTCACCAATTTAAAAGTGAATGAGTGGAAGAAATAAGAGATTTGTTTAAAAATACTTTGTTGAGACCCACCTCTAAGGTATTTTTGACCTTTTCAGAAGGATTAATGTGCTTTACGCAGCACTGCTGTGTGTCGTCACTAAGATTATAAGACGCAAGGTC